GTAAGACATGTTTTTGAGCATCGTCTTGTTTAAAAAAATGCTATGTATCTTAAAAATTAAAGCCAGGTTGAGACCGGGGTGGATGGGCGGGGCTTACCTTTTGGCTTTCTTTCAAATAGTTTGCTTTAATAACACGATTAGTCAAGGACTTGGTTCACACAGCAATTTCTAGTAGGAAAACAAGGATTTTGCATTTAAGCTCCGCCCACGACTTACGACTGGTAAAAAAAAAACATCACCATTGAGATCGGGTGTGTGGGCGGGGCTTGTATTATGCCTTTTTTTCTTGATATATATAGTCCTCGGTTTTAAATTATTATTGTGAAAGGATGACTACATATATTAAGAACAAAAAGGGAAAAATATTATTTTTAAATACGTCGATTTTTTGATTGTTCAATCTTTGGATTTATCAATTTTTCCATTTTTAACTTTTCGGTTGTTCGATTTTTGTCTAGTTATATTTGGAAACATTGAAAAATTGGAAAATCGGAAAATTAGAAACTAAATTGGAAAATCTAAAATTCAAAAATTCCGAAAATTGAAAAACTGAAATATAGAAGAAGCAATCAAAAAACATAAAATTTTAAAAATTAAAAAGTCAAAATACCTAAAAGTTGAAAAATTGAGAAATCGAAGTATAAAACAGTCGAAAAATTGAAAGTTTAAAAACGAAAAATTGAAAATCCAAAATGTAAAAAGTCGAGAAATCGCAAAATCCAGAATTCAAAAAATCGACGAAGTAAACAAAGGACGAAGGACGAAGGAAACAAAGGAGACGGAGGACTGAGGGGGCGACCACGAAGGAGACGAAGGACGAAAGACAAAGTAGACAAAGGTAACGAAGGAAGAAGGGGAGAATAAATGAAAAAAACGAAGGACAAAGCAAACGAGAAACGATAGAGACGAAGGATAAAGGAGACGAAGGACAAAGGACGAAAGACTAAAGACGAAAGACAAAGGACGAAGGACTAAACACGAACGACAAAGGACGAAGGACGAATGAGACATAAGTGCCGTAGGATGAAAATGACGCCGGAGACAAAGGACGAATTAGCCGAAGGAGACAAAGGGAGAAAGAAAACTACGAAGGAGAAAATCCAGAACTCACAAAATCTAAAATTCGAAATTCTAAGAAATCCCAAAATTGAAATATCAAAAAATTGAAAAATAGAAGAAAAATTGAAGAATCGAATAACTGAATCACAAAATTGAACGAAATATGCAAAAATTGGGAAATTAAAAAATTGAAAATTTGAAAAATCGAAAAGTCAAAAACCAAAGTCAAAAAACCACAAGCTTTAAAAATCGAAAAACTGAAAAATCAAAAACCGGAAAAACGAAAAATTGAAAATCCAAAATGTAAAAAGTCGAGAAATCGAAAAATACAGAATTCAAAACATCGACCAAATAAACAAAGGACGAAGGACGAAGAACAAAGTAGACAAAAGTAACGAGGGACGAAGGAGATGAAGGATAAGGGAGACGAAGAACGAGAGACATGAAGGGGATGAAGGACGAAGAACAAAATACGAAATACAGACAACGAAGGACAAACGACGAAGGACAAACGACGAAGGACAAAGGACGAAAGACGAAAGACTAAAGACGAAGGACAAAGGACGAAGGACTAAAGACGAAGGACAATGGACGAGGGATACCAAGGACGAATTAGACAAAGGAGACAAAAGGAAAAAGAGAACTACGAAGGAGACAAAGGACGAAAGACGAAGTAAACAAAGGACGAAGGACTAGAAACGAAGGAAACAAAGGAGGCGGAAGAGACAAAGGGCTAAGGAGGCAACTAGGAAGGAGACGAAGAACGAAGGACAAAGTAGACAAAGGTAACGAAAGACGAAGGAGAGAAAAATGAAGGAGACGAAGAACAAAGTAAATGAGAAACGAAAGAGACGAAGGATAAAGAAGACGAAGGACTAAGGAGATGAAATATATAAAGTACGAAGGACGAAGGACGAAGGAGAAAGGACAAAATTAGAAGGACAAAGAACGAACAACAAAGGACAAAGAACAAAGGACGAAGTACAAAGAACGAAGAACAAAGTACGAATAACAAAGGACGAAGGACCAAGAACCAAGGACTGGGGACAAAGGACGAAGGACCAAGGATGAAGGACAAAAGTCGAAGGTCGAAGAACGAAATTCGAAGGACGGAGGACAAGGGACGAAAGTTTAATTGCTTGATTTTTTTATTTTTCGGTTTCTCAATTTTCCTGTTTCAGTGATACGATTTCTCAATTTTTGTCTTCTTCAATTTTACAATTTTTTAAATACTTCGATGTTTTGATTGTTCAATCTTTGGATTTATCAATTTTTCCATGTTTAACTTTTCGATTGTTCAATTTTGATTATATTTGGCAACATCGAAAAATAGGAAAATAGAAAAATTAAAACCTAAATTAGAAAATCTAAAATTTAAAAATTCCGATAATTTAAAAACTGAAATATAGAAGAAGCAATCGAAAAACCTAAAATTTTAAAAATTAGGAAGCCAAAATATCCAAAAGTTGAAAAATTGAGAAATCGTAGTATAAAACAGTCGAAAAATTGAAAAACCTAAAGTTTTAAAAACGAAAATTTGAAAATCCAAAATGTAAAAAGTCGAGAAATCGAAAAATCCAGAATTTAAAAAATCGACGAAGTAAACAAAGGACGAAGGACGAAGGAAACAAAGGAGACGGAGAAGGAAGGACGAAGTAGGCAAAGGACGAAGTACTTCAGACAAAAGGGAGAAAGGACTAAGGAGGCGACCACGAAGGAGTCGAAGGACGAAAGACAAAGTAGACAAAGGTAACGAAGGACAAAAGGGAGGATAATTGAAGGAGATGAAAGAGATAAAGGACTGAGGAAGTAGGACTAAGGAGAAAGGACAAAAGACGAAGGGCAAAGGACGAACAACAAAGGACGAAGGACAAAGAACGAATCGCAAAGGACGAAGGACGAATACGACAGAGGTGATGTAAGATGAAAGTGACGAAGGAGACAAAGGACGAATTAGACGAAGGAGACAACGATGAAAAGAAAACTACGAAGGAGACGAAGGACAAAGGACCAAGTAAACAAAGGATAGATAAAGAACTAGAGACGAAGGAAACAAAGGAGACGGAAGAGGAAAGGCGAACTAGACAAAGGACGAAGGACTACAGACGACGGAGACAAAGGGCTAAGGAAACAACCAGGAAGGAGACGGAGGACGAAGGACAAAGTAGACAAAGGTAACGAAAGACGAAGAAGAGAAAAATGAAGGAGACGAAGGACAAAGTAAACGAGAAACGAAGGAGACGAAGGATAGAGGAGACGAAGGACGAAGGAGATGATAAAGATAAAGGACTAAGGACGCAAGGCGAAGGAGAAAGCACAAAAGACGAAGGGCAAAAAACGAACAACAAAGGACGAAGAACAAAGGAAGAAGGACAAAGAACGGAGAACAAAGTACGAATGCCAAAAGACGAAGGAACAACAAAGAATAAAGAACAAAATATGAAGAACAAAAGACCAAAGGACAAAAACGACAAACGACAAAAAGACGAAGGACAAAGGATGAAGAACGAAGAACATAGAACCAAGGACGAGGAACAAAGGACAAAAGACCAAGAACGAAGGACAAAGGACGAAGGACGAACTACGAAGGACGGAGGACAAGAGACGGAAGTTTAATTGCTCGATTTTTTTTTTCGATTTCTCAATTTTGCTATGTTTCAATGATACGATTTCTCAGTTTTTGTCCTCTTCAATTTTACGATTTATAAATAAGTACTTCAATGTTTTGATTGTTCAATCTCTGGATTTATCAATTTTTTCATTTTTAACTTTTCGATTGTTCGCCTTTTGTTACCTATTTATATTTCGAAATATCGAAAACTTGGAAAATGGATAAATTGAAAACTAAATTGGAAAATCGAAAATTTAAAAATTTCGAAAATTGAAAAATTGAAATATAGAAGAAACAATCAAAAAACGTAAAATTTTAAAATTGAAAGGTCAAAATATCGAAAAGTTGAAAAATTGAGAAATCGAAGTATAAAACGATGGAAAAATTGAAAAATCCAAAGTTTTAACGACGAAAAAATGAAAACCCAAAATGTAAAAAGTCGAGAAATCGAAAAATCCAGAACCCAAAAAATCGAAAAGTCGAAATACTAAAAAATCCCAACAATGAAATATCAAAAAATTGAAAAATATAAGAAAAATTGAAGAATCGAATAACTGAATCACAAATTTGAACGAAATATGCAAAAATTGCGAAATTAAAAAAGCTGAAAAATTGAAAAATGGAAAAGTCAAAAACCAAAGTCGAAAAGCCACAAACTTAAAAAATCGAAAAACTAAAAAATCAAAAACCGGAAAAATCGAAAAATTGAAAAACTGAAGAACTGAAAAATCGAAAAAGTTATAATTTAAAACATTGAAAAATTAAAACGAAGGACGAGGCAGACGATATAAAGTTATAATATCCTAAATTGATTAATGGAGAAATCCAAGTATCAAAAAATCAAAATAATAAAAATTCGAAAACCTAAAAAACTGAAAAAACAACAGATCGAGACATTTAAAAAAAAAATCAAGTTGGCCTTGAATCTCGGAAACAAATTAACTAAAAAAAACTGTTTTGACTAATAATTAGAGCACAACTTCATGTACCCCTATACCTAATTCCAGGTGATTTCAGTGCCCTAAATAAAAAAAATGGCCCCTGAGTCTAAACTTCCCTATTAAATGTCCGTTTTCGTTTCATTCCAAATCAAAATCGCTTACATCTCTACAAAGTGTTCACCTAGCATCCAACCGCGTTCGCGTTGATAAGATTTATCGCGGCAGCGCACCCTCCCGAAGACGCTTAAATCGTCCAAGAATTTATATTATGTATAAAAAAATCTTCTCGTTCCGCGCCCGTTCCATAAATTATTGACCCTCCTGCGGTGTTCGAACTCACCAAGTCCGCGAGTGCCAAGAAACAGCCATATCTCAAATTTTACGAGTACCTTTTTTCGATGCGTGGAAGCTGTCCTGGGGAGACATTTTCTCTATCTGAGCGCTAAGTTTGGATCTCGGCAGGATCATTCGATCGCTGTTGATTTTCTCGACTGCGTATCTAAACGCAATCTCCTGCTTATCGTCCGCCGGATGGAACAGCCCACCTGGAACAGACATCAACACGTTAATTTCGCCGCAAAGAAAAAATCTCCAACGGATCCTTGTTCAGCAGGATCGTGATGAAAATTCCTGCAGTGACCGCCACTCCGAAATCAATTACTCTCCATGCAACATTGTCATCAATCTCGTCTAATTTGATTTGTGAAAGTTGGCTCTTGGTCTTTGTGTGCAAAGTTACCCGAGCCATTAGCTGTCAATAATCCTATTAGCTCTAAGTTGTTCGGACTGCCGGAACTATTGCCCTCTTACACGACCGCGGCTTGTTTCAATCACCAGACTTTCGGCCATCAGGATCTGTCTCTCGAGCGAGATTAATAATGCCCGAGTACCCCTTTGAATATAAATTCCGGATTAGGGACGTTCCGGGCGAAATGTGCCAGATTTTTCCGGAGCGTCAAAGACTGTCGATGTGTTGAGTGGTGTTGAGGGTTTAGGAGCGGTGCATTATTCAGGTGGCAAGATTGACTTCTCAAATTTAAATAATTTAGTTTCGAAGTCCAGCAATCGGAAGCAGTTCTCGTTAACTCCGTGCAAATGCAAGTGGAATTAAATGAGAATTTACGCGATTGCAACGAGGAGGGATTCGAGGAATTTAATCGATCGATTATGGGGATTTAGTGAGGTGTGGCGGCGTGTTGGACAAGTTGTAATGAAGAAAAAGCGGGATGAAATGCCGAACGGTTTCATTAGGGTTTAGGTGGATTCAGCGAGTTTACACAGCGGGGAAAAAGTGGCGCTAAATCGGAAGAATCTTAAACGGGTTGGAACTATCGTGGCGCTAGTTACACAGAAGTGAACAAATTTACACAGAGTTGAAACTATTCAAACGGAATAAAATAACGGAAACTAAATACTGACGCTTGTATAAATAGTGCTTCCAATGCAGAACAGTGTAAATGTTTTGGTTAACATTAAAGCTAGATGTTTTCAATTTATATAAAGCTAACATTTTGCAATATTTACATATTTGGATTAACAACAATAACAGGAGCAAAATCATCACGTTATGCATGGTTGCTAAAAATGAAAACGTGCAATTTAACGCAGATTTTATTGGCGTTTTAGACTAAATTAAATACTCCTAATAATTGTTTATAGTCAGTTCATCACAGTGGATAAAACTACAATCACGTTCAATTTCAATTAAATGTAACTTTATTATTCATTCATTAATCGACAAAATTTAATATATTTTTTTTTTAATTAAAGAGTCCGAAGTAGGTCCAAATGTCACTGGAACAAGAAAATTAGACAGAAATTTCTTCGTTTCTAAAACAGCGTCATGAAACTCCAGTTTCTTAAATAAACACCCTATATATTTTTACATATTTTGATTGATCTCTTCTGAGGTTTAGATAATTCTAAGTACGTGCTGCAGAGTGTCTATAAAAATCTAAAACTTTACAATTTTCAATTGTCAATATTTCAGTTTTTTCAAATGAAACACCCCGTATTTTATTAGTACATCTTACTTTATTTTTTGTCTTCATTCTTCTAATATGTCGATGTGTCTCTTAGAAAACTAAAAAATATAGGTTGTTCCATTTGAAAAAACTGAAATATCGATATTTGAAAATTTTAATAATTGAAAATTTTTTTATGGACAAGCTATATACGGAAATTTAATCTCATTTATACCACAACAAAGCGTGTACCTTTGTTTATCTCTCCACAAAGTGTTCTAACACAGATTTTAAATATAACTCTTCTTTGGTAATTTTTTTGTAAACCCTTACATTGTTACAAAAATTCAAGGAAATTGGAATAACGTTGCAACGTTGTATCGTAATTTCAAAAATAAACTGTTTCATTTGAAAAAAACTAAGGTATGTGTTACGCCTTAAAAACAGAACATTCTGTATAGTTAAAAGTAATTTTAAAGTATAGTGATCCAATAACCGTATAACTTTGGTCTTTGACTTTTTTTTCTATTTCTCAACATTGATGAGATATCAAGAACGCCCGCTTGAGGAAACAAAGGAGACGAAGGACTACAGACGAAGTAGGTAAAGGACGAAGGACTATAGACGAAGGAGACAAAGGACGAAGAAAACGAAGGACAAATGAGACGATGGACGAAAGAGAGAAAAAATGAAAGAGACGAAAGAAAAAAAGATACAGGAGACAAAGGACGAAGAAAACGAAGGACAAATGAGACGATGAACGAAGGAGATAAAGGTCGAAGGACAGGAAAAATGAAAGAGACGAAACAAAAGGATAAAGGAGATAAAGGAGAAGGAGATGAAGGAAATGAAGGACGAAATACAAAAGACGAAATACAAAGGACGAAGAACAAAGGACAAAGGCAAAAGAACAAAGAACGAAAAACAAAGGACGAAGGACGAAAAACAAAGGACGAAGGACGAGGAACGGAATAGATGACTTAAACAAAGGAAGAAAAAGACGACCACGAAGAAGACGAAGGACGAAGGAGACGAAAGTAGAAGGAGAGGAAAAGTGCAGGACAAAAGACGAAGAACAAAAGACGAAGGACAAAGGACAAAGAACAAAACGACTAAGGACAAAGGACGAAGAACAAAAGACGAAGGACGAAGGACAAAGGACGAAGAACAAAGGACGAAGGTCAAAGGACAAAGGATGAAGGACAAAAGACGAAGGACAAAGGACGAAGAACAAAACGACGAAGGAGAAAGGACAAAAGACGAAGGACAAAGGACGAAGAACAAATCGACGAAGGACAAACGACGATGGATAAAGGACGAAGGACGAAGGACAAAGGACAAAGGACGAAAGACAAAAGACGAAGGACAAAGGACAAAGGTCAAAAGACGAAGGACAAAAGATGAAGTACAAAGGACGAAGGACAAAGAACGAATGAGACAGAGGTGACATAGGACGAAAGAGAGGAGGGAGATAAAGGACGAAGGACAAAGGACGAATGAGACAGAGGTGACATAGGACGAAAAAGACGAGGGAGACAAAGGACGACGTAAACGAAGGAGACAAAGGGAAAAATTGAACTATAGAGAAGGAAGCACGAAGTAGGCAATGGACGAAGTACTATACACGAAGGAGACAAAGGACTAAGGAGGCGACCACGAAGGACGAAGGTGAAGAAGGACGAAGGAGACAAAGGACGAAGAAAATGAAAGACAAAGGAGAACAAAGACGAAGGAGCAAAGAATGAAGGATAAAGGACGAAAGACAAAGGACGAAGGACAAAGGACGAAGGACAAAGGGCGAAGGACAAAGGACTAAGGAGGAATGAGACAGAGGTGACGTAGGACGAGAGAAACTTGGAAGACAAAGGGAGAAAGAGAACTACGAAGGAGACGAAGGACGAAAGACGAAAGACGAAGGACTAGGGACGAAGGAAAAAAGGAGTCCAAGGACGAAGGACAAAGTAGACAAAGGGAACGAAGGACAAAGGAAACAAAGGTCGAAGAAAACGAAGCACAAAAGAGAAGAAGGACAAAGGAGCCAAACCACGAAGAAAACGAAGAACAAATGAGACGATGGACAAAGGACGAAAAACGAAGGTTGAAGGACGAAGTACGAAGGATGAAGAACGAAGGACGAAGGACAAAGGACAAAGGACAAAAGACGAAGGACAAAGGAAGAAGGACAAAGGGCGTAGGACTAGGGACAAAGGACGAATGAGACTGAGGTGACATAGGACGAAAGAGACGAGGGAGACAAAGGACGACGTAAACGAAGGAGACAAAGGGAGAAATTGAACTATAGAGGAGGAAGGACGAAGTAGGCAAAGGACGAACTACTATACACGAAGGAGACAAAGGACTAAGGAGGCGACCACGAAGGACGAAGGTGAAGAAGGACGAAGGAGACAAAGGACGAAGAAAATGAAGGACAAAGGAGAACAAGGACGAAGGAGCAAAGACGAAGGATAAAGAAGGAAGGACAAAGGACGAAGGACAAAGGGCGAAGGACAAAGGACTAAGGACGAATGAGACAGAGGTGACGTAGGACGAGAAAAACTTGGGAGACAAAGGGAGAAAGAGAACTACGAAGGAGACGAAGGACGAAGGACGAAAGACGAAGGACTAGGGACGAAGGAAAAAAGGAGTCCAAGGACGAAGGGAACAAAGGACGAAGGAAACAAAGGACGATGAAAACGAAGGACAAAGGAGACAAAGCACGAAGAAAACGAAGAATAAATGAGACGATGGACAAAGGACAAAAAACGAAGGTTAAAAGACGAAGTACGAAGAACGAAGAATGAAGGACCAAGGACAAAGGATGAAGGGCAAAGGACGAGGGACGAATGAGACAGAGGTGACTTAGGACGAAAGAAACTTGGGAGAAAAAGGACGAAGTAGACAAAGGAGACAAAGGGAGAAAGGGAACTACGAAGGAACCGAAGGATGAAGTAAACAAAGACGAAAGACGAAGGACTTGGAACGAAGGAACCAAAGGAGACAGTGGAGGAGGGATAAATAAGCAAAGGACGAAGGACAAAGTAGACAAAGGCAACAAAGGACGAAGCAAATAATAAATGAAGGAGACGAAGGACGAAGAGGAGGAAGTGGATGAAGGACGAAAGACGAAGGACAAACGTCGAAGGGCAAACGACGAAGGACAAAAGCGGAGGGACAAAGAACGGAGGACAAAATACGAAGGTCAAAGGATGAAGGACAAAAGATGAAGGACAAAGGACGAAGGACAAAGGATGAAGGACAAAGGACGAAGGACAAAGGACGAAGGACAAAGGAGGAAGGACAAAGGTTAAAAAACACAGGACGAAGGACAAAGGACGGAGGACAAAGGCGGAAGGACAAAGGACAAAAAACACAGGACGAAGGACAAAGGACGAAGAACAAAGGACGAAGAACAAAAAACGAAGGACAAAGGACGAAAGACAGAAGACGAAGAACAAAGGGCGAACGATGAATAAGACAGAAGTAACGAAGGACGAAAGAGACGACGGATACAAAGAACGAAGTAGACAGAGGAGGCAAAGGAAGAAAAAGAACCACGAAGGAGACGAAGGACGAATGACGAAGTAGACAAAGGACGAAAGACGAAGGACAAAGGATAAACAACGAATGGGACAAAGGTGACGAAGGACAAAAGAAACGAGGGAGACACAGAACGAAGTAGACGAAGGAGGCAAAGGACGAAGGAAGCGATCACGAAGGAGACGAAGAACTAACGAAAAATTGGACAAAGGGAACGAAGGACGAAGGACAGGAAAATGGAGGAGACGAAGGACGAACGACAGGAAATTGAAGGAGACGAAGGACAAAGTAAACGAGAAACGAATTAGACGAGGGATAAAGGAGACGGAGGACGAAGGAGATGAAAGAGGAGTAGGAGTTGAAGGACGAAGAACAGATGGCGAAGGACAAAGGACAAAGGTTGAAGGACAAAGGACGAATGATGAAGGACAAAGGAATAAGGATGAAGGACAAAGGACAAAGGATGAAGGGCAATGGACGAAGGACACAAACGAAGGATGAATGGGACAGAGGTGACGAAGTACGAAAGGGACGAGGGAGATAAAGAACGAAATACACGAAGGAGACAAAGGGGGAAAGAGAATCACGAAAGAAACGAAGGACGAATGACGAAGTAGACAAAAGACGAAGGACGAAGAACTACAGACGGAGAAAACAACGGACACTGAGCAGAAAGGACGAAGTAGGCAAAGGACGAAGGACTACAGATGAAGGATACAAAAGACGAAGAAGACGACCACGGAGCAGACGAAGGACGAAGGACAAAGTAGACAAAAGAAACGAAAGACGAAAGAGAGGATAAATGAACGAGATGTAGAATAAAGGAAACCAAGGATAAAGAAGACAAAGGATGAAGAAGATGAAGGAGATGAAAAAGGTAAAGGACGAAGGATAAAGGACGAAGGATAAAGGACGAAGGACAAAGGACGAAAGTCAAAGGACGAAGGAAAAAAGACGAAGGACAAAGGACGAAGGACAAAGGTCGAAGGACAAAGGACGAAGCACAAAGGACTAAGGACAAATATTTTGTGATAATGCTGTCAACATTTTGGCAATGACACGTACAGCAATTTATTTACGTGCAGTGTAAAATTTTAATTTAGAATAAAAGAGATAAATTAATGCAATTCATAACACCGGTCAACATGAATTTTGAGTCTGCTGTATAGCTGATTCTTATTCTTTTAACCCTGCTAAATAAGGAAAAAATGTTTCATTAGAAAAATTTGCTTTTGTAGCTTTCAGAATGATTTCTGGAAAATAAGAAAAAAATTTTTTAGGAATTTCGACCACGTTTTTTTAAAAAAAGAGAAGTAAAATAATTTATTAATAACTCTAACAGCAAATATAAAATAGTTTAGAAATGAATATTTTTTGTGATCCTTTTGTAAGCAAAATTACTTGTTTTGATGAATTCTCCGTTTATGTGGCGAAATGTATCTGCATCGTGTACAATTTCTTGAAGCAGGCGTGAATACTTTATTGTGACTAGTTTCAACAACCAAATATCACTTTACCCATGCTATGTGCAAAAGAGTATACTAGCTAAAATTTTATAAATTTTTTTGTTTAGAACGAAATTTCTGGGAGATTTCTGTATTTGGCGTCACATAGCTACCACGCGCACGCACACACTAAATATAAATCACATGATTGAAATTACCCTAGCATTATTTACTAAAGCAATTATTTTGTTACTCAAAACGTTAAATATTTATCTATTGCTGTGAAAGTTACAAAAGCAAAGTTATCGACAAAAAAACAAAGTAAATAATGATTACAATTAAGAGTCAAAAAAAAATGTTTTAAACTTTTTAACCTCTTAGTAAAATTTACGGTCGGATTTATCAACACTGGTGACTGCATATTAAAACCACTTTCGAAAACAGTTGAGAAGAATATTTTTCACTTGTCATCATATTCATAAATATCACGTCTAACTTGGATTAGACATTTTTTCTACTAAATGCAAACCACCCGATTCGACAGATTTTTCCAAAGTAGTATAAAAAAAATTAAAAGCAAATTCCAAAGTCTTGTCAAAAACATGTGGAAAATGTATATTTTTCAGCTAAAACGTGTTTTGTCTATCAATGTTTCTTCAGTATATCATTTATTAAATAAACTGAAAAGAACTAAATCTAGAATGACGTTTATGCTGTGGAATTTTACTAATTTTGTTACAGTTTCGATTATTATTTAAAAATAATATATACGTGATAAATATGTATTAGTTATTTTTTGTAAAATTTCATGAAACGAAAACAAAAAAACCCTAAGAATACTAGAACGTAGAAAATAAAACTTTATCCACTTCTACTTTTTACAAAAAAATTTTAATTTCTTGTTATTGCCTTTAAAGTCCTTTATGCGAAAATGGAGCCATACAATCTCCATTCCATTAGCATTCGCAAATAGTTTTTATTATCTAGAAAGGTAATTCTGCTCGTAAACTAATTCAAATCTAATTACAACCAATCTCCTGGGTCCCGTTGTCCCGAACTACTTTAATGTCGCACCACTTTACCAAAAGCCACAATAAAATCTTCTCTATTTATTTCACAAATAAACCCAAACAGACCCGCGTTAATTAACTACCGAAAGCAATAAAAAAGTGTGAAACCGCCATTATAAACCAGAGATTAATACCAAAATTTATTTTACGTCCGTTGCTCACAACCTGCGGGAAAACGATTATTAAATATTACTCTCGGAGGGATAATAACACACTAGTTTATTTAGCAGCTCCTTGCAAACCGAACCCGTTACAAAATCAACTGTTAATTTAATACGCCGCAGCAGTTAATTTTTACAACTCTTTTATGGACTTCGTTTCGCAATTTCCGAGTTAACAGGCTTAAAACTGACACGAAATTGATGACAAAAAAAACTAAAAATGGGTGGGTCATAACAACTCCTTACAAAGCAGCAAGGAATTCATGACTGCACAAGAACAAGCGAAACCGATGCACTAATCGTCGAGCTGCGTCCCAGCGGTTTTTTGCAGCCAAAGTTTGTCAGGGCTCGTACAATTCCTGCGAAACATTAAGCTTGCAGAAGGGTTGTATTAAGGGCAAAAAACCGACACAAAGGGCTTTCATTCGCTATTATCGGTTAAGAGCGCGATCTCCCGTCAAGGCGATCGTTTTAACCGTGCTTGAACCCCGACAAAAACAATAACCAAATATTTTTACCTATTCGGATGACATCCGGCAGCGTGTTGGAGAATTTCATCAGCAGAAGCACCAGAAGCAATTGCGTTAGCCACTCCATCATGAAAACATCTGCAACAAAGACACATAAATTTAACTTATCCATCAGACAGAAGATCAATCAAGGCCCTAGCGTCGAAAAACTTTAATAAAATCGCAAGACGGACGAGTCCTTCGTCTATTTTGTAATAAAGAGTGATACGGGATCGATATTTTAAAGATTGGAAAAGTGATTGAGCTATTCAGCGTGGATTATTAGAATCTTTTATCACGGACGTCGGGTTCCGACTTTGCTCTCGTAACTCATAGTTACGCAGTCATCTTCGAGAGTTTGCCCCAAATGAGGCGAGGTTACCTGGTCCTGGAGGTGGGAGATAAATCAGGAATTTTGGCCAATGTTTCGCGAACTTGTTGATCGCGGGATGATAAATTAGCGTTAGGTGGATGGGTAGGCAGAAATCATGAGGAGCAGATGCGAATAGCGGAATAAAATATCGCGGCATGTGGTGGAGTAATGCGGTTTTTTTTGTGTTTTGTCGGTGTAAAAGTTTTACTAGCAGGTAGTAAAGAATGCAGGAAAGTTTAAATTTAATGGTGTGTTGATCGGGGTCTTTGAGAGGGAAACTAAATTTCGAGTTTATAGCTTGCGAACTATTGTGGAAGGTGGATCAGGTTTCCGGTTATTTTATGGTTCTCTTATACTAATTTTAATGTTTTTTTATTATTATTGTTACATATATGTACTTGACTCCTAAACCGAGTGCTCTGAATTCTTGAAAACGTTTTAAGGTTATCATAAGGATGGTAGCAGATTAATCAAAATTTATGAGTTTATCCCAGTTTTTTCAAAAATTGTTCATTTTTGTTAAAGACTTTGCCAAAGACTGTATCACTAATTGTCCACTAATACCACTATTAAAGTCATTGGACGTATTTTGAATTAATGTGATTTCAATAAAGAGGTAATTATTTAAAGGAAATCTACCAACAGTTACCAGCACTTTCCAAAAATCATAAAATTTAATTTTACCAATTTTATATTTTTTTCTGAGAACCCCTATATTAAAATAAAAATATGTTTATAATGTTAAAGTATTCTAAATTACCATATTTATTAGTAGAAATTTTGGAAGAAATGAAGCCAAAAATAATTTACGAGCTCCAAAAACTCCTCCAAATAATTTTCGACGGTCCTTGAAAAAAATAAAAAAAATCATGAAATCTCATACTGAAAAATTGGGCTTTCGAAAAGCTTGCCTAAGGATCCACAAAAAAATGTGGAATTTAGATCTCGACAAGTTAATTCAAAAACATAACTTTCGAGCAGGATTTTTTCGACCAAAGGACGAAGGAGACTAAAGTCGAAGCAGTCAAAGAGGTGAAAGGAAGAAAGGATGAAGGAGATAAGGACGAGGTAGACAAAGGACTAAGGACGAATGAGACTGAGTAGACGAACGACGAAAGAGACGAAGATACAAAGGACGAAGTAGACGTAGAAGACAAAGAACAAAGAAGACGAAGGACGGAGGACGAAGTGGACAAAGGACGAAGGACTACAGACGAATGAGACAAAGGACAAAGGAGACGACCACGAAGAGACAAAAAACGAAGTAAACGGCAAAACGACAAAGAAAACGAAGACCGAAGGAGACGAAGACGGACGAAAGAAATTCCCATATTTAGTTTTAGTGAAAAGTAGAAGTTTTCGGAGAAATGTAAATGAAAACTCCTCCGGTTAATTTTCGACGGTCCTCGGAAAAAAGTCAAAAATTTCATGAAATCTCATTGAAAAATTTAGTTTTTGAAAAACTTGCCTAAAACTCCACCACAAAATCTGGAATTTATATCTCGACAAGTTAAATAAAAAAAGTAGCTTTTTGATGGTTTTTCATAAAGATTATGGAAGTATTCATTTTCAAAATAAAATTGTAAAATAATCCTGAAAGTTGTCATATGCTATTTTGGCGATTCTAGAAAAGTGGTAGAAATTTGCGGAGAGATGAAACCGAAAATAAATCCTACAGGTCGAAATATGTAAAAAATTATTTTAGATATTTTTCAACGGTGCTCGAAAAAAGTTAAAAATTCAATTTCTAAATGTTAAAGAGATATCAACCAACACTCGCTTAATGACTCACCCTGTATATACTGTCTTCAGATACATAACTCCACACCATCATCCACTCCGTAACAAGCGGAGTTTTTTCCGACTAAAGGACGAAGGAGACGAAGCATTGAGGAGATGAAGAATAAGGAGACGAAGGACGAAGAAGATGAAGACGAAGTAGAGAAAGGACTAAAGACAAATGAAACAGAAGAGACGCAGGACAAAAAAAACGAAGGAGACAAAGGACGAATTAGACGAAGAGAACAAAGGGCGAAGGAGCCAACTACGAAGGAGACGAAGGACGAAGTGGACAACGGACGAAGGACAGAGGACGAAAGGGACAAAGAACAAAGGAGACAAAGGACGAAGTAGACAAAGGAAACGAAGGACGAAGGAGATAAAGAAACGGAGGACGGAGGAGATAAAGGGCAAAAGAGACGAACGACGTAGGAGACGGAGGACGAAGGAAACGAAATACGAAGAGAACGTAAGACAAATGAGACGAAGGACGAAAAAGAAGAAAAATGAAGAAAACGAAGGACGAAGCAAACAAGAGACAAAGATGAAACAGAGAAAACGAAGAAGATCAAGACTAAGTAGACAAAGGACTAAGAACGAATGAGACATAGGAGACGAAGGAGATAAAGGACGAAGTAGATGAAGAAGACAAAGGGTGAAGGAGACAATCACGAAGGAGACGACGGACGAAGAACGAAGTGGACAAAAGACGAAGGACTATAGACCAAAGAGACAAAGGAAAAAGGACGACAGACAAAGAAGACAAAGGACGAAAAAGGCGACTACATAGGAAACGAAAGATGAAGGACGAAGTTCGAAGAAGAGGAAAAATGAAGGATACGATGGAAACAAAGGACGAAGGAGACGTAGGGCGAAATAAATAAAAAACCCAAGAGACGGAGAACGAAGGAGGACGAAGGAGACGAAGTACAAAGGAAACTAGACTAAAGATGAAGCGGACGAAGGTGCTGAAAAAAAGGGAGAGAACCAAGAAGATGAAGACGAAGTAGACAGAGGACTAAAGACGAATGAGACAGAGGAGACGAAGGACAAAAGAAACGAAGGAGACAAAAGACGAAGTAGACGAAGAAGACAAAGGGCGAAGGAGATAATCACAAAGGAGACGAAGGACGAAGAACAAAGTGGACATAGGACGAAGAACTACAGACGAAAGAGACAAAGCACAAATGACGACAGACAAAGAAGACAAAGGACCAAAAAAGCGACTACAAAGAAAATGATCGATGAAGGACGAAGTAGACAAAGGAAACGAGGAACGAAGGAGACGAAAGGCAAAGGAGACGAAGCATGTATAAGACGGAGGACGAAGAAGATGAAGGGCGAAGAAAAGGAAGGACATAGAAAACGGAGGAAGAAGGAGACGAAAGGCGAAGGAGAGCAAAAATAGAAGAGACGAAAGACGAAGGAAACGAAGTACGAAGGAGACGAATGACGAAGAACACGAAGAACGAAATACACGACAAAACGTCAAAAAAAAACGAATGCCAAAGGAGACGAAAATAGTAGTTTTCGAACAAATGAAGCCTAAAGTAAATTTCGGAGATCGACATCTGCAAAAACTCCTCCAAATAATTTTCGATGGTCCTCGGAAAAAATAAAAATTTGATAAAATTTCAGAAATTGAGCTTTTAAAAAACTTGGATAAATTTTATGGAGGTATTCAATCCCAAAATAAAATTGTTAGATAATTTTAAAAATTGTCAGATGCTATTTTGACGACTCCTGAAAAACAATAGAAATTTTCGACGGTGCTCGAAAAAAGTAAAAAATTAAACAAAATTTGATATTGAAAATTCATTCTGGAATATATTAATTCATTTTTAAGTTCATATTTTTAAAACACTCAAAAAAATTGCCATATTTCAAGTAGCAATTCCTGATAAGTAGTAGGTACGAACTTTCTTAGAAATGAAACCAAAAACAATTCTAGAGGTCGAAATCTGTAAAATCGGTTTAAATGATATTCGCCGGTGGTCGAAAAAACACAAAATTTTCATAGAATTTTATTTTTAAAAATTGAGCTTTCTGAAAACTTAGAACATATATTTCGACAAAATAATTTAAAAAACATAGTGTGCTGACGGTCTCAGATAATTTTAGAGGTATTCGTTTTCAAAGTCAAAATTTTAAAAAATTCCAAAAATCGCCAGATTTAATTTTGGCGATTCCTGAAAAATACATAGTACAAATTTTCGAAGAATTGGAGCCGAAAGTAAATTTTGGAACTTGACATCTGTAAAAATTTCTTTTAGATCATTTTCGACGATGCTCGAAAAAAGTCAAAAATTTGAAGAAATCTCGTATTAAAAAATAGGGCTTTTGAAAAAGTGGCCAAAAATCCACCAAAAGTTCGGGAATTTAGATCTCGACAAATTAAGCAAATAAACATAGTATTCAATTTCAGAATAAAATTTCTAAATAATTCTAAAAATTGTCATATGCAATTTTGGCGATTCTGGAAAAATGGTAGAAATTTTCGAAGAAATGAAATCTGTACAAAATTCATTTAGATTATTTCCAAAGATGTTCAAAAAAGTAAAAAATCGCCTAAAAATCCACCAAGAATTCTGGAATATAGATCTCAACGAGATAATTCGAAAAACGTAGCGCATTAATAATCCTGGGCTAAGATTTTCGAGGTTTAGTTTTTGAGTTCATATTTTTAAAACATTCAAAAAATTGCCACAATTTCATTTCGCAATTCCTGAAAAGTAGTACGAACTATCTAGAAATGAAACAAAAATAAATTCTAGAGGTCGAAATCTAAAATCTTTTTAGTCAACATTCGACGGTATTAGAAAAAACACAAAATTTTCATAAAAGTTTATTTTGAAAATTTAGCTTCCAGAAAAGTTGCCCAAAAATTCGCCAAAATTTGTGGAACGTAGAGTTTGACAAGATAATTCGAAAAACATAGCGTGTTGACGGTCTCGGATGAAGATCTTTTAGGTATTCGTTTTTAAAAACGAATTTAAAAAAAATAAATAAAAATTGCCATATTTAATTTTGACAATTCCTGAAAAATAGTAGAAATTTTCAATGAACTGGAATCGAAAGTAAATTTTGAAGTTTGACATCTGTAAAAATTTCTTAGACAATTTTCGACGGTGCTTGAAAAACGTCAAAAATGCTATAAAATTTCATCTTGAAAAATTGACTAAAAATCCACCAAAAATTTTGGAACAAAGATCTCAAAGAGATTGTTCGAAAAACATAGCGCATTAATGATCCCGGGATAAAATTTTCAAGGTTTTAGTTTTTAAGTACATATTTTTAAAACATTAAAAAAATTGCCATATTTCATTTAGCAATTCCATAAAATTAGTACAAACTTTCTAGAAATAAAACCAAAAATAAATTCTAGAGGTCGAAATCTAAACTCTTTTTAGACAACATTCGGCGGTATTAGAAAAAACACAAAATTTTCATAAAAGTTTATTTTGAAAATTGAGCTTCAAGAAAAGTTGCCCAAAAATTCGCCAATATTTATGGAACGTAGAGTTTGACAAGAAAATTCGAAAAACATATCGTGTTGACGGTATCGAATGAAGATCTTTGAGTTATTCGTTTTCAAAGACGAATTTAAAAAAAAAATAAAAATTGCCATATTTAATTTTGACAATTCCTGAAAAATATTTAGTAGAAATTTTCAAAGAACTGGAATCGAAAGTAAATTTTGGAGTTTAACATCTTTAAAAATTCCTTCTAGATAATTTTCGACGGTGCTTGAAAAAGTAAAAAATTTAATGAAATCTCATGTTGAAAAATTGGGCTTTTGAAAAAGTAGCCTAAAAATCCACCAAAAATTCTGGAATCTCGACCAACTAATTCAAAAAGCATTGCTTGATAATCCCGGACAACGATTATGTTTTCGTAGTAAAATTTTTAAATATTTCGAAAAATTAGCAAATGCTGTTTTGGCGATTTTGGATAAATGGTATGAATTTTCGAAGAAATGAAACTGAACTTGCGAGTTGAAATCTGTAAAAAATCCTTTTAGATAATTTTCGTCGGTTCTCGAAAGAAGTCAAAAAATTTTTTTTGCAAAATTTTGAGATGACGGCATCAACTTTTTGTGGTGATAAACAGATATACAAATAAATAAAATATTTTCTCGGGCTCAAGAAGCAGATAAAGAGCCAACCCACACTTTTTAGTACTTGTTGTCACCTTAATAATTATTTTCCCGGAACATATTTTATGAAATTCCTGTAATCCGCCGCCGCCACCTGTACTTCTCCGACCCGCCCCAGCCCACCGCCTCCGAACAAAACTCGGAAAGCCAACCATCGGAACTCCCGTTCCGCCTAAATATTTTATAGCATCTCCGAAATGTAAAGCATCCCGGGCCGTTGACAGGCTCGCAGCCGCCTTTCTACACTTATTGAACTGTCTGGAATTGTTTCCGAGCTAACGACCATTAGCCCCACTCGCCGTCAGTGACGGATGTCTGCGTAAAATACGTCTTAAAAACACTTCTGGATGAAATATCGCGCCCCGGCCGTCACGCCTCCTCCACTTATTCGAAAACACTTTGACGCCGACAATTTGTCCACTTTTTCTGATTTCGAGTCTTTCGTATGCAAACCCCCGACGCGCTCGCATTGTTGGACGAAACGGCAAAGAACAGCTCGCAATTGCCGCAGCTACATGTACCCATTTGATAAAAACCCTTTGGGATTCAAACAGCGGACAGCCAGAGATGAAAGAATTCGGAATAATGAGATGATGTAGTATGTATGAGGAGAGCTTAGGGTCTACGATGTATAAGAGAGGATCTTATCCCAAGCACGCGCATAAACAAAGCTTGTTAGGCGGCCTAAATTTTTGATATCTGTCGTTCGCCAGGGAAGGACCCCTCATTAGGATCTAGGAAGATTTCACCTTCCGAGCGGGGCTAAAAATAACATTTTGTAGTGGCTAATTTCACGCTTTGTGGTGTACAAGTGTTGAAACAACAATAAAACCGGTTAAATTAATTCCGGCTGCTAATCCTCTCGGAAAGGTGATGACGTCACGACATAAAAATGAACTCAGTTCGTAAATTAGCAATTAAACTGCTGCGACTGAAGTAGGGGTCACAGACGGAGATAAGAAACGCTTCGAGTGGTCGTAATGGGGGTTGGAGAATTTCTAAATAGCTACAAGTTTGAATTTTCTTTGGCACTGAAGCGTGAAAAAAGCGGCTAAATGCCGCCGCCGAACCACAATTTCTAACCTCTGCTGCTTTTCAGTTATTTTCATAAAAAGCTTTTCTAGCACGTCGCGCGAACTTTTCTTTTTAATGCCCCGCAGAATCACCTTTGCAGACGTTAAAATTGCGAAATGAAACGTTGAGTTGGACGAGACAACAAAATTGCTGAATAGAAATTCCAGGCTCGCACTGAACCGAGATGTCGGGGCAAGAATGAAATTTGAAGGAGATTGAGACGTAGTCAATTAGCGATTTGGGGGCTTGATCCGGCACTGGCGAGACGCGAATTCGGATGGCTGCTAAATTTTCAAAATATGAGCTAACACAAGTAAAAATACTTCATATTTTGTGAATCATATTACTTAATATTGGTGGAAAATATTCCCGTTGAATTGAAATCTAATTGTAGATGTCACGGTTACGTGAATTAAGTTAAAAAATTATTATTTTTATCACTCCTAGCGATCTGTTTTGATGTTTGCTGATCGTCTTCAGATATGGTGGAAATGAATTTTTTTTCTGGCGCTTTTGTCATTTCTACACGATTTACATAATTTTCTTCGGAAAAACTACCTGTCTGCAGCCAAAATTTCCCAGGATCACGAATATGTTTTTTTTTTCGCGCATTTCTTAAATAAGGCAAAAATAATTCACCTCCACCATTTTTAGACAAAATTAGATAGTTGCTCAAATTTTCCGAATATAGCATGTATCTGAACCAAAATTGCCTTAGGATCACCAATCTGTTCTTAATTCTGTTATACGTCGTCAAATAATACAGAAATAAACTTTTGTTCTAGTGGCTCCAAAATTTTTACACAAAATTTAACAGTTGCTCATTTGACCAACTATTAAATTTTGTGACTTTTGCTAAGAGTTTTCTTCGGAAAAGTACTACCTGTCTGAACCGAAAATTTCTAAGGAGTATGAACCTATTCTTATTTTTCCTGTGTTTCGTCAAATAAGGTAGAAATAAATTTTTTTATCCAGTGCCTCCTCCATTTTTTACACAAGACTTGAAAGTTTGCTCAAATTACCTGAATAAAGAAATTATCAGAACAAAAATTTTTCCAGGATCATGAAGCTGTGCTTATTTTTCCTTTATTTCGTCAATTAAGTCAAAGATAAATTTTTAATCTGGCGCCTCCACCATTTTTACACAAAATTTGAAAGTTGGTAAAATAATCCGGATG